ACAGGCACCCGCCACAACGCCCGGCCGTATTTTTGTTGCAGTCTGGCCGGGGTTAGGTTTGAACCCACCACCCTTGGTATATGGGGCTGGCACCCTACCCACCGAAGCACAGGTGCCACCCACATTTTGTTTTAATATTTTCCCACACATCTTAATTTCAGTACTTTCCCTCCATATATCTTTGTCTCAGTATTCTCTCCATCTGGTATCATCTAATGGTCAGTCTAGGGACAGCTGGTTTATCTTCCAGGCCCAGGAGTTAGTCAAGGAAGAGTTAGTGAGAACTTTCCCATCCATCTTGGGAGTGAACCAGACTTACCCCATGTTGTTGAGGGCTTGCAGCCCAGGAATTTGCCAGGAGTTAACTGGTATTTGTCTACTTTAGCCTAGGCCTAACAAGTCCATTTGCTCTAGGCTTTGGGGGTGTGGCTCTTGGCCAGTTTGGTCCTCAAATGTGGCTCAGAGTAAACCTCTAAATTATTTTACAGAGTTTGGCTTCTTTTCCATTGACAGAGATAAATACAAGGAAGGCTCATCCTACTGACTGAAAATGGGCAGTGAAGAAGAAAAGGGAGGAAGGGATGCCGTCCAGAGAGATTTATTTACAAAAACGCCTTCCACCCCCATGTAATGTTGCTGACTTTGTGTTTGGCTAGATGGGGTATTGTGATTTGGAGAATTAAGAATTTGGGGAATTGCTAATGGAAGATGTAAGGATGGTCAGTCTTTATAGTCAAATAATAAAGGAATTATTAACTCAAATAGTTTTTCAGTATAGACTAAAATCTCTGCCTCCTTTCTTTCTCTGCCTGGCCAACTTACTAGCAGCAACCCCTCCTCCACTTACCTTTTCACAAACCCAGCAGACAAAAAGAAAATGTAAATTCTATCTTTTTATATTTACCAGCTTACTCTTTCTCTCCTGTTCCTGTAGCCTCAAGGGTTCCTAAGTAGTCCTTAAACAATAGGGTGTGTATGTGTGTGCACAGGTACTGAGCCTTTAGCCTTAAATCTGCTAAAAATGACATCTAGTACAGACTCCATAACAGGATTAGAAACACCTGCAAAGACGAACCTTTTGCAGTTCATAAGCGTTATGATTGGGTTTTCATGTGCATGCGTGAGATGTGCAGCCCACAAATCTTGTTACAAGGTCCAAATGTCACCCGTCTGATGAGGGAGGAAGAAAGGAAGGAAAGAAGGACCTGCAAATACAGCTGCTTATCACCATCCTGTAAGTGGAAAAGCAGATGGACCACTTTTCACAACATCTGTGAATTTGGCCACAATTACATTTTTCCTCTTTGCCTCCCTTAAATATAGCTGCTCCTTGATCTCAGGGAGGGATACTTTTTGGGATGCCAGTGCCATCTCTGTCTCTCTTTTTCTCTACTCTGTCTCTCTCTGTTGATCCCTCCTGTATCACCCAGTATTACACTGAGAAAAGCCAATGCACTGAGACAATAGCAGGTGTCCTCAAACTACGGCCCATGGGCCACATGCAGCCCTCCTAGGACATTTATCCGGCCCGCTGGGTGTTTTTGACGCTGCTGCCTGTCCTGCTTAGCCGCTGACTCATCCTGGAGCTGGCAGTCTGGCCCTCCAACAGTCTGAGGGACAGTGAACTGGCCCCCTGTTTAAAAAGTTTGAGGACCCCTGCAATAGGGGTCAGAATGCTAAGCAGGGAGATGGGAGAAATCTCTCAAACCTGTCTTCCCCCAAATTGGGGAGATACGAGTTTTTAAAGAGTTTTAAACTTTGGTGGGTCTAGGTTCCTGTAGCTCAAGCAGCTAGGGCGTCAGCTGCATACACCAGAGCTGGTGGGTTGGAATCCAGCCTGGGGCCTGCCAAACAATAATGATAACTACAACCAAAAAAAAAAAAAAAAATAGCTGGGCATTGTGGTAGATGCCTATAGTCCCAGCTACTTGGGAGGCTGAGGCAAGAGAATCTCTTAAGCCCAAGAGTTTGAGGTTGCTGTGAGCTGTGACACCACAGTACTCTACCCAGGGCAACAGCTTGAGACTCAGGCTCAAAAAAAATGATAGTTTGGTGGGCATAGGATTAGGCACTCAGGGTCTAATTGGTTGGTTTCAGGGTAGAACCTTCAGGCCTGGTATGGGCCACTGTCTAGGAGGGTCAGTTACTGGAATGCAGGACCTTGGGTGGAGGATCCAAGACCAGTTAAGTCAGTTCCTTGGCTCAGGTGGGTCAGTTCCTGGAATGTAGGACCTGGATGCTATCTCAAAAACTATTCCGGAGTAAAGAAGTGAACTAGGCTCGGCGCCTGTGGCTCAAGTGGCTAAGGCGCCAGCCACATACACCTAAGGTGGTGGGTTTGAATCCAGCCCGGACCTACCAAACAACAATGACGGCTGCAATCAAAACATAGCCAGGCATTGTGGTGGGTGTCTGTGGTCCCAGCTACTTGGGAGGCTGAGGCAGGAGACTCGCTTGAGCCCAGGAGTTGGAGGTTGCTGTGAGCTGTGATGCCACGGCATTCTACCCAGGGGGATAGCTTGAGGCTCTGTCTCAAAAAAAAAAAAAAAAAAAAAGAAGTGACCTAAGGAAACAGTGATTATTATCAAAATGAGAGTCAGTGGCTGATTATTATCATTATTTTAGCTAAGTCTGCTCTTTCACAGAGTTCTGAGGGCCCTTTAGTTCTCATCTTGCAACCCTACATCAATTTGTAAGAGCAGTTTTACTTTCTCCTAAAAGATAAAATTAAAGCTATACTTTTATACCCTAGTTTAGGGGTCCTCAAACTTTTTAAACAGGGGGCCAGTTCACTGTCCCTCAGACTGTTGGAGGGCCAGACTGCTGACCCCAGGATGAGTCAGCGGCTAAGCAGGACAGGCAGCGGCAGCAAAAACACCCAGCAGGCTGGATAAATGTCCTAGGAGGGCCGCATGAGGCCCACGGGCTGTAGTTCGAGGGCGCCTGTCCTAATTCTTCTCTCACCTGCCACAGAGCACCTACTGAGCTTTCCACCATAACGGATAATGGAAGGCGGTCTCTGGAGACCTCACCAAGATCCAGTGGAGTAAAGTGGCCACAGCCCTCTCCTCTTCAGCCAATGTGGGCTTAACCAGCCTCGTGAACCTCAGTGCAGACGGGCAAAAAAGACAAGTCCCACCTGACCCTGCCCTTCATGCCTTATGCTGTTGGGGGAACAGAGGCACTCAAGAACAGGCACAGAGCTGGGGCAGTATAGAAGGGGCTACATTGGCTCTATAATAGGCCTAAAAATGTGAGGACCGTCATCCAGCAGGAGGAGGAAAGGACAGTCATTAATGCATGGAGTTCTTTTTCTTTTTCTTTCTTTTTTTTTTTTGAGACAGAGTCTTACTATGTTGCCCTCAGTAGAGTGCTGTGTCATCACAGCTCACGGTAACCTCAAACTCTTGAGTGATTCTCTCCCCTCAGCCTCCCAAGTAGCTGGGACTATAGGCACCTGCCACAATGCCTAGCTATTTTTCTTGTTGTAGTTGTCTTTGTTGTTTAGCAGACCAGGGCCAGGTTTGAATCTGCCAGCCCCAGTGTATGTGGCCGGCACCCTAACCATTGAGCAATGGACACCAAGCCGATGCATGGGTTTTTTTTTTTTTGTAGAGACAGAGTCTTATTTTATTGCCCTCAGTAGAGTGCCATGGAGTCACAGCTCACAGCAACCGCCAAGTCCTGGGCTTAGGTGATTCTCTTGCCTCAGCCTCACAAGTAGCTGGGACTACAGGCACCCGCCACAACACTCAGCCACTTTGTTGCAGTTTGGGCAGGGTTGAGTTTGAACCCACCACCCTCAGTATGTGGGCCAGGTTCCCTACCCACTGAGCCACAGGTGCACTCTAGATTTTCTTACTGTCTTTTTTTTTTTTGGAGACAGAGTCTCACTTTATCACCCTCAGTAGAGTGCTGTGGCGTCACAGCTCACAGCAACTTCCAGCTCTTGGGCTCAGGTGATTCTCTTGCCTCAGTCTCCCAAGCAGCTGGGACTACAAGTGCCCACCACAACGCCCAGCTATATTTTTGTTGCAGTTTGGCAGGGGCCAGGTCAGAACCCACCACCCTTGGTATATGGGGCCGGCACCCTACTCACAGAGCCACAGGCGCCTGCCTTCCTGCCTTCCTTCCTCACTTCCTCCCTCACACCTTCCCTCCCTCCCTCTCTCCCTTGCTCCCTCTCTCTCTTTTTCTCTTTCTTTCGACAGAGTCTCACTTTGTCACCCTCTGTAGAGTTATACACTGTTGTAGCTCACAGCAACCTCAAACTCTTGGGTTCAAGTGATTCTCTTGCCTCAGCCTCCCTGACAGCTGGGACTACAGGTGCCTACCACAATGCCCAGCTATTTTGTTGTGGTGGTGGTGGTTGTGGTTGTTGATGTGTTTATTTAGAAGGCCAGGGCCAGGTGAACCCACCAGCCCTAAAGAACATGGCTGGCGCCCTAACCACTGAGCTACAGACACCAAGCCCAATGCATGGATTTTCTTACTGAAAACTCAGCATTTGCCCTTGAGGCCGCATCACAAAAATGAAGACAAGGGCTTTGAGGAGGAAAAGGAAAAAGAGATTTATTAATCTGCCTGCAAATGAGGGGGATGGAGACGCCTGGCAAAATGCCATCATGCTGTACATAGGAAGAAATACAGAGCTTTCAAAGGGAGAACCCTCGGTTCTAGGCTATTAGGGTTCGACTACAGCTAATGATTCTAACATCCCATCTCTGCTGAAGACAAAGCTCTCACCTCTGCCCACCAGGGAGTCCCACCCAGACCTCTACCCACCTGGGCCTCCACCTGACAGTTCTGCTGCACCACCTCCAGGTGCACAAAAATTGCCCCTGCTCCTCCCAACTCCTGGTTTGAGGCTGGGATGCAAGTTTTAGTTCCCCAAAACAGTGGGGAAGGTTTTCAAGAGAACAATTCAGGCCCTTCCCTCTGTTACACATTTTCCACTTTCAATTTTACACTTCCATATCTATGGAAGCAGGGGAGAATACTCAATTACAATCTAGTGGATGTTGCCTGAGCACTGTGCTAGGCCTCTGGACATGCACTGATCAGTAGAGTAGTAACAGAAGTGAGGGCCTGAAAAAGAGCAGTATGTATTACAAATAGTCTCTTTAAACCCTCTCCCCTTTTTAAAATTTCAGGTTAATTTGAGGGTACAAAGAATTAGGTTACAATGTTTGCATTTGTTAAGTATAGTCCCTGTTGTAGTTGGGTCCCATCCCCAGCAGATAGCCCCAGTGAGCTATCTACCCCGACATTGTGGCCATTAAGCTCTCCCTCCCCTACTCTTTTTTGTGAATTAAAAGCTGCATTCCTGTCTGGGCCAGTAATCAGAGGGGCACAAGAGTTGTCTAGGCAGAGGGCTTGAGATCATCTTCATCTAGCCAACCAGGACCACCAACCATAGTTAAACAGCAATAGCCCCAAGCTGAAACTCCCCTTTAAAACTCTGTATTTAAAAAAATAAAATAAAAACTCTGTATTTCTGCTTAAAACGAGGACGTTGGTTCTTTAAGAGGAGAGTCTGCCATCCTTATTTTCCATTAAATTAACAAACCTCTCTTTTCTTTGCCTCAGATCACTTGCTCTCCTTGTTTGTGCAGCCCCCGGGGACAAGCGCTGAATTTTGGGTAAATAGAAGGGACTTGCTGGCAGCCCCATGAACAACTATCCGAGAAGCACAGAGGAAAATAATGGATTAATTAGCCCGCCGCTTTTCCCCCTAAACCTCCCAGTAATTGGGAGGTAACGCGTAGTCAATACTTTTTAATTGAAAAGAAAAGTCTCTGGGTGCGCCCATGAGAAGGGGAGGAGGGAAATGTGGACGTGGGGCGAGGAACCGGGTGTGGCCCTCCGAGGATAGGCAGGTGGGGGTGGGGGATGAAGCGGGTTTCGGCTGGCAGCGCAGGCGCCAGGGCTGGGCCTCATCCTGTGGAAACTGTGAGTCACCCACCGCCTGGCAAGCCCCACACTGGGGTCACGCGCGTGGACACGTGCCGGGGAAGGCGGGAGCTCAGTGTGCGAGAACCAGAGTCTCGGGGACCCGCGTTCTAACCCGGAGGGTGCTTCTCAGCCGTAGGGGAAGGAATTCTTAAAGGCTTGGGTGGGGGAGGTTGCGCGTGCTCGCGCGTGCCCATAAACAGCGCCGTTCCCGCCCCTGCAAGGCCCACGTGTACGGCCCCGTGCGCCGAGGCCCCGCCCAGAGGGCGGGGCTGCGCTCCACAAAGCGCCGGCGCTGCTCCGCCCGCAGGCTCGGGCCGGCGAGCTGGCGTGAGCGGTGGCAGATTGGCTCCTGCCGTTCCTTGTCGGATTCGCTTTAGCCCCCGAAATCTCCCGTCGCCTGAGATAGTCGGAGGCGGCGGCCCTGGCGCAGCTTGTTGGGAGAAATTCCCGAAGCCCCCGCCCTTGTAGCCCCTTGAACCCAGCCCAGAGCTGAGCTTTCTCGAGTAGAGCCAGGACTCTGAAGCCGGGGGAGCAGCGTCTGCTTAGGGTACCTAGATGGGGGGTGGGCTGCGGGTGTAGGAACTTTGGGATACGGGGGAGCCAGGTTCCTGAAACAGTTGGTCACTTGTTTCCGAATTACGGGGGCCGGCACTCGGGATATGGGAGCTCTGCTCGTGGCAGGGAAGGATTGGACCCAGCTTCCGAGGAGGCAAGAAGTGGACACAGCGTGGAACATGAATTTTAATATGAGGGCAGACCAAGGAGGCTTGCGGAACAGAGTTTTAGGCCAGGCCGAGCTGCATAGTCCCTTGCAGGGACGTCACTCTACCTCCCTCTTGTCATTTCATAAGGCCTAATTTTTTCCCAAAACCTGAGTAGGTGTCAGAGGCCTGCTTAACAGTCTTGTCGATGGTTTCCTGGGTGGAGCTGGTCAGCTGGTCCATGGCTGGGGAAGGAGAGGAGAGTTAGGGCAAGGCCTTAGGGGGAACCAGCTCCTCGTAGGGTTACTCCCATGCAGGGTTTGGCCTTATGTGGGGTCAGCGTGGCCTTGGTCTCTCCCGGGGAAACCTGCCTTGGGGCATTGTGGGCAGCGGGGCCGGCAGAGGAGAGGGTGTACTTGGGCCAAGGTTGGGGTGGGGATTGTGATGGAGCTGTCCACCCCCACCCCTCTAAACCCGCCAGACCTTTCTGTCCGGCGTCTGTGGCTTGATTCACCACTTGCTGAACTTTTGCTCCCGCTGTTGTCACTAGAAGAGAGAGATGTGGTCTTGAGCCTGTGTTGAGGCACCACTCACCATAGGGGTCCCACTAGAGAACTCCGTATATGTTCTCTAGTCTGTCCTATAAGGCCCAGGGGTGGATCAGTGAGGTGAAGTCCCTTACCCAGCTAGCTGAGGGGCATGAGCCTTTTCAGTGCCTCTGGAGAGTTCTTTATTTATAATGCGGGCCCCGCCCTTCTGGCTGGCTTCCCTTACCTTTTCCTAGGGTTGCAGCCGAGAAACTGTTGGCTGGAGGAAGGAAGGTGGGGCAGGGCCCTGCAGGGTATTGCCCAGGAAGACCCTCTAAGAACTCTGCTAGAAGCCTGGCCCTGAAGTCTGAAATCCCACCTTTCCTACATTTGGCCCTGGGGCCTCTACTTTTCCCGGATTCTCTCACCACCTCCTCCCTCCTGTGACTCGCCCTGGAGAACATAAAAGCAGTAAATGCCAATGCCTCTTTGGATAGGCAGCTCAAGGCATTAATTAGGAGACAAGCTAGAAAGGTGAAACTTCAAGATCAGGCCATCTTTTCTGGAATAGAATTTCTACCTGTGGTGAATGTTTTCCAGGGGCTCAGGTGGGTCAGCCTATGGGGTGGGCTGACGGGTGGCTCCAGCGTGCAGAGACCTAACCCATCCTGGCTGCCAGTTTGCAAAGGGCCTACCTTGCCTAGAGCCCATTCCAGAGAGATGGCTAGGCAGGTCCTGGGTGAGCTTACAGAAGCCCCTGGGGGCCTTGTCTGACAGAACCCATCAGAAAGCTACAGAGAAAGAAGCCTTAGCACCTAGCTCACAGATGGGGAAAGTGAAGCCTAGAAGGCAGGGTCCTGTAGACAGAGGCTTCCTTGGTAGCAGCTTAGTCTCACCAGGAGAACTGTGGGCTTTCCTGGGAGCACTGGTGAAGGAGGGGCTGGTAGGAGTTGTCTCTTGACTAGGATTAGGCAGGATTGAGAGCTGAAGAACCAAAGAGCCCAGGGCGAGTTGCTGGAAAACCAAGGGTCTCCTCGCATCCCCGTACCCCCAGCCGCCAGCTGTGTAGCCTCTGGAATAAGGAGAGCGCTGCAGGTGGTGAAACTAAGGCTGGGACCTGCCCTGCAGAGTGAGGACTTAAAGGAAATGATTATTTTCAGGGTAAGGAGACTAAAAAAGCTCATTGGGGTCTGGAGCAGCCTCCACATCCCATCCAGTCCTGTAGTAGAGACCCTGAGGTGCAGAGGTCGGCAGCGCGCTCTTTCCGTGGACCTTCATCCTCACTTAAGGGCGGAGCTGGAGCCCCTCCCTGCCCACACCACCACCTTTGAAGGGCTCAGGCTTCTCGAGCTCTGCAGTTCTCCCACCTCCCCTGGAGCAGCCCTCTGCTGCCCGCCCCACATCTCAGGGGAGAGCCCCCTGAGCCTTCCGCGGGCTGCGCAGACCCACGGCTTCTGCCCCTCCCTTATACCCCAAGTGGGGCGCTATCCTCACCCGCTTCCTGGGCCGTCTCCTCCACCTGTTGCTTCAGATCCTGCAAGCCCTTGCTGGCCATGCCTTCAGGTGGTCTGAGGGTTGTCTAGAGTAGTCGCAGCAATGTTGGATCCTTCCCAGAGTAGCGGCCGTGAGCCAGCTCTGCTTTTTAAGGTGCCCCAGGGCCCGCCCGCTCTGCGGAGGGGAGGGGGTACTGGGCGGTTCCAGCAGACAAACTAGGGGAGTGACTGGGCCCTGCTCCAGGCTCAGCCCTCCGGAGAGCACATCCTGGCCTCAGGCTGGCCGCAGTGGAAAGAGGAACTGAGGACTGCAGTGGGCCTGGGTTAGGGGTTCAGAGAGGAGGACCTGGGGCAGGAGAGGGGCACATGTACTTTCTCCCACCTAGTCCTCCAGAGCCTTAAGTCTCTGAACCTGAGTATCCCCCATTGGTGACCTGAGAGGTCAGCGCCAGGTTGGGAGCTCAGGGCTAGAGTTGACATAACAGTAGCTGCCTTTTATTGAGCATTTCTCTTGTGTCAGATGCTACCCTAAAGCTCTACAATCTCTTGTATAATTTTTACAACCACCTCATGAAATGGATGTTTTTATTAATAGCATCATTTTGTAGGCAGAAACTGAAGCAGAGAGAGGGCCAGTTACTTTTCCCCCAAACTCAAATCCATGTAGCTGGGCTGTGAATTCTGAGGCCCTGGCAACAGCTGGATGCATAATCTCTTAACACCCAGCTGGGACGCTGCAGAATGGCATCTGCCCGTTAGCCCCTGGAACCCAATGCACGCAGACAGGGGAGGATCAGGTAAATCCTTCCTCCCAGAAAGCAAGACACCTGCTCTGGCCTTTGGACCATGGAGAGGGGGTGTGTGTCTTCGAGCGTCTGGCCTAAGCAAGAAGATTGCCATCGGTCACCAAAAGCCCAACAAGTTGGGCAGGAAGCACAGCTCAGGGCAGGAATGTATCCTGGTCTTCTCCTGGGACTGGGAGGAAGGGAAACGCTAGGGCTAAGGGACAACCTGAATGCAAGAGGAGGAGAGTTAGGAACTTGGGCTTGAGTAGAGGAGTCAGGGATCCCAGAACAGCAAAACAACCCATGAGGCATAACCTCCTGGCACATAAGAGGAATACTTTGGGCCCCAGCCTGCCTGCTGCTATCCCATTTCTCTTTTTCGCACCTCCTTGGCCTTCAGAGGCTGCTTCACATCCTCTTTGCCTCTCAGCGTCTAACTTTTCCTCTCCGGTGTGTTTCTTGCTGGAGTCTCCTCTACTGTGGAGCTCTGGGAAGCTCCTGCCACCCAGGGCTGCCCCGCTAGCCTGTTCCTGATTCTAGTGGTGGAGAGTGAGCCCCCAGTGTGGGGAATCTGGAAGCACGCACATCTATACACACACACACACACACACACACACACACACACACACAGGTTAACCCTGAGCAAGAGCAGGAGGCAGGCAGTGAGATTAGGTGGAGCATGGGAGGGAGCAGGGACAGCCTGCTAGAATTAACTGACCCTCTCCCTACTACAGGGAAAGCCTGTGCAATGGCCTGCCCAGGCCCCTCCCCACCAGGACCAGGGCCTGGCCCTGCCCTGGGTGCAAAGGCACTGTGGGAGCCACCTGCTCCCTGCCAGGGGCACTTCAGAGAGCCCAACCCAGCCCCTACTGCAGACCTGCCAGCTCTCCTCAAATGATACAGGCTGTCCCTGTAGCAAGGAAGGCCTTTGACTGCTCTGGTTTATCACACTGGCTGCTGATGCTATTTGGAACCAGGCCCAGTGGGGGATGAGCAAGACAGAAAGGCCGCAGCCTCAGTGCAGAGGACAGCCAATCCTTAGGAGGCCAAGGTAGAGACAGCTTAGGGTGGCCCTGGAGTTACATTTCTTGGCTTCAGATGCCCCTAGGGCAACTCTCCAGCTCTCTGACCTTCATAACAGAATCTCCCCCAGAGTGTTTTTATAAAGATTAAATGGGGCTGAAGGGGTCTAACAGTAAGCAAAGGACCTTGCAAGAGGTGGTGGAGCTCTGGGGGCTCCTCAGACAAGGAGAGGCTAAGGAGAGAGGGCATTTTGGTGGTCCCCCTTATTTATAGTTTTGCTTTTCAGGATTTCAGTTACTCTCTGTTGGGGCTCAGAAACGAATACTCCAAAAGTATAGCTCTTTGCCACATTGAACTGAAAAAGCCTCAAGATCTCCCTAACCATCTCCTCTCCCTCCATTTCTCAATCCTTTGTCTCCTCCAAAGCACAGGATGGATGATGGAGTTCCCTGTAGTTCCCTTGTCTGCCTAAAGTCTAGACCTGTCAAAGAAGAAAACAAGCACCTTTGGTCCCTTCCCTGAGTTTTCCTGAACTGAACCCATATAGAGGAAGACAGCGAAGTCTGTCAACACACCTGTACAGACTGCTCACAAACTGTTGTCTTCTCTTCAGACTTGGTTCAGGCCACTATATGTCCTTCAAGTCCATTGAATTCCCCTAAAAATCATGTACCATTCCCCTAAAATAATCCACACTTCCCTGTCCCCCTTTCCCCTAAAAAGTGTATAGAACCATATGTACCCCACTGTGCGGTAGGCAGCACGTGCATGCTAATAGATTTGTATGCCATTTCTCTTGTTAGGCCACCTTTTGTTGAGGTGATTTTTCACCAAAACTTCAGAGGGCAAAGGGAAGTTTTCCCTTGGCCCCTACACCAAAGTCAACCAAGATCACACATAGTAAATGGAAAATTCCAGAAATAAGCAATTCCTAAGTTTGCAATAACTTTTGTTACAATATATTATAATTGTTCTAGTTTATTATTATTGATTTCTTATTGTGCCTGATTTATAAATTAAACCTTATCATAGATATGTATGTGTAGGAGAAAATACGCCATATATGGGCTTCGGGACTATCCATGGTTTCAGGCAGCTGTGGAATGTTTTGGATGGATAAGAGGGAAATATTGGATTCCTACAGGGATGTCAGACTCTGTCTCACAGGGTCCAGAGCATATGACAGGGGGTTTAAAGACAAAAGGGACTGCAGGGGACCATGAGGAGCGGGAGTGGCTTCTTAGAAGAGGCAGACCTGGATGTTTGTCATTTGAGTTCAGCCATAGGCCCAGTGTATATCGCAGGGAGGAGAGGGCAGCTGGACACTTCTAGGCTCCTTTAGCAGAGGTAGAGGGAACCTGGTGAAAGCTGTCCCAGTGGCCGGGTCTGGGTACCCTCTCTACCACCCTTAGTCACCTGAGCTGGTCTTGCTCCTCCTTGCTTTCTCTCACAGCCCAAAGAACTCTCAGGCACACCCAGGCCCCAGGTGGCCTCCACCTAGGGCATGCACAGGCCTGCTGATATGCATGTATCTGGGCTGGGGAGCAGGAACACCCCTGATGGCCCTGAGCGGCTTCACTCTAGCTCTGGCAAGGTTCGTGGAGCATAGGACCAGCACCCCCTTCTCCTTTCTGCCTCCTAACTGGATGCCCAGGACAGCCAACCAGGGTACAGCACAGCTTAGCTGTGGTTGGCAGAGCTCCCAGTCCCCTAGGCCGCCTTGACCCCTGCTCTCCACTTCAGAGGCTGGCTGGGCAGATGGTGTAGACAGACAGGGCAATGTCTGGAGTCACATGTGTCTCGAGCTCTAGCCTGGACACCCTGTACTGGAAGTCTGGGGCAAGTCACTTAGATGCTCTAAGCCTAAACTGTCTGGTTGTCAAAGGGGAGTGTGGGGTCCCCAAGAAACCTAGCTTTCTGTTCAGCTAACTCTTTTTTTTGAGAGAGCCTCAAGCTGTCCCCCTGGGTAGAGTGCCATGGCATCATAGCTCACAGCAACCTCCAACTCCTGGGCTCAAGCGAGTCTCCTGCCTCTGCCTCCCAAGTAGCTGGGACCACAGGCGCCCGCCACAACGCCCAGCTATTTTTTGGTTGCAGCCATCATTGTTCTTTGGCGGGTCCAGGCTGGATTCGAATCTGCCATCTTAGGTGTATGTGTCTGGCGCCTTAGCCACTTGAGCCACAGGCGTCGAGCCTGTTCAGCCAACTCTTAACAAGACTGCTGGGCATGATGCAGACAAGTCCTTCATGTAGGACACTGACCTGCCCCATCCTTGCCTTGTTTTGAAACCTTGGGTGGGGGGGGGACCTGCCTGGAACTTGTGAAGTCCCATTGACTGTAGCAGAGCAGGAAGGTTACCTGGGTGGCTTTGGAGCAAAGCTACCTGGGCTTATGCCCAGTCCCATGCTTCTGAGCAAAAGTGGGATCATATCAAATCCTGCCTGATAGACTTGTTCTAAAGATTAAATAAAGTAAAGAGCTCTGAATGTGACCGAAGGCTGCCTGGGAGGAACTCAGCAAATGTTAATTTTTATTTTTTCCTTTCTCAAGACAGGACTTATTCTTTTTTTTTTTTTTTTTGCAGTTTTTGTCTGGGACTGGGTTAGAACCCACCACCTCTAGCATATGGGGCCAGCAGCCTACTCCTTGAGCCACAGATGCTGCCCAACGGGGCTTATTCTTATGTATCTCAGTTGTTGTGGTTTTCTTTCTTTCTTTCTTTTGAGACAGATCCTCAAGCTGTCACCTGGGTAGAGTGCTGTGGCATCACAGCTTACAGCAACCTCCAACTTCAGGGCACAAGCGATTCTCCTGCCTCCACCTCCCAAGCAGCTGGGACTACAGGCACCTGCCACAATGCCCGGCTATTTTTTGGTTGCAACCATCGGTGTTTGGCGGGCCTAGGCTGAATTTGAACCAGCCAGCTCAGGTGTATGTGGCTGGCGCCCTAGCTGCTTGAGCCACAGGTGCTGCCAGGTTTTCTTTCTTTTTTTCTTTTTATTTTTTTGAGACAGAGTCTCAAGCTATTGCCTTGGGTAGAGTGCTGTGGCATCTCAGCTCATAGGAACCTCAAACTCTTCAAGCCATCCTCTTGCCTCATTTTTTTCTATTTTTAGTAGAGACAGGGTCTCGCTTTTCGCTCAGGCTGGTCTTGAAGTCACGAGCTCAAGCAATCCACCCACCTCTGACTTCCAGAGTGCTAGGATTACAGGAGTGAGCCACTGAGCCCAGCCCCAGCTGTTGTGGTTTTCTTTTAGAGACAGACTCTTAATTTATCACTCTCAGTAGGTGCTATGGCATCACAGCTCACAGCAACCTCCAACTCTTGGGCTCAGGCCATTCTCTTGCCTCAGCCTCCCGAGTAGCTGGGACTACAGGCACCCACCATAACACCTGGCTATTTTTTTTGTTTTGCAGTTTGGCCAGGGCTGGGTTTGAACCAGCCACCCTCAGTATATGGCGCCAGCACCCTACTCACTGAGCCACAGGTGCCACCCAGCTGTTGTGGTTTTCAATGACACCTCACAGGCTTCTGGGTTTAGGAAGGGCAAATGCAGCTCTCATTTCCAGGCTGGAGGTTGAGGCTGGGTGGGACCGGGCAGGAGGTGCCCCAGGGCCCCCTGGGGAGGGTGCTCCTCATCTTCACTATGGGTGCAGACTCTTTGAAAGTTCCCATCTGCTCTAGGGAGGGTGTCAGGTGACCCTGTTCCCTGCAGGACACTAGAGCTGTGGATGTACACTGAAGGAAGGCATAGGAGCCTGTCCTCACCCCTTGCTGACAGTGGGCTCCTGAGAGACAGAGTGGGTGGGCAGGGACCACCTAGGAGTGAACTAAGGCCAGTCCTCATCTAAGGTCTGGAGAAGCTTAGTCCACAGTCCAGGGCTGTGGACTCCATGTTAAAGTCAATGGGTAAGTTGGGGCAAGGGGTGTTCCTGAAGGCAGTGCCTGTTCTCAGGTGTTCCAGAAGTGCCCAATGTGTCCCTGCAGGGTACCTGATCCCATGAACAGGCTGAACCAGTTCAAGTTCCTGGGAGGGCCCAAGGGATCCTTGCATGAACTATGAAGCACAGAGAAGAAACATGGCCAGGAGTGGGGCTCAAGTTTTATTTGTAATCACACACACACACACACACACAGAATTCACAGCAGCATCTCTGGGGTCAGAAGGACCAGAGGGCAGGAAGGGCTAAGGGAGGGCCATGTAGGCAGACAGGTCTGGGCAGATAGGCCTGGACAGCCAGGCGAGGGTGGGGAATGTGGGCAGCTGCAGGTCACACGCCAAGGCCAGCGCTCCTCGTGCCAAGAGGGGATTCGGTCCAGGTCAGAGATGTGTTCCTTGGGTGTCTGTGCTGACTTGCAACCCTTTAGTCTCCCCCACTCTTGGCCTGAGAGAGAGAAGAATCCTCACACATAGCTCCACATCCCCCACCTTCACTGGCCACCCAGAGTGACCTAGGGAAGGTTGTCATTTGTACCTCCTGTCTGAGGGGTCATTCATGGGGGGATCTCACACTCAGACTTAGGGTTGGCCCTGCCCCCAGGCCCTGTGAGAGTGCATAAGAGGTCAGGAAGCCCCTACAGACCCAGGGAGAGAAGCAGCAAATCTGTGGGGGAAGGGGCCCCTACCCAGGAACCCCCATGGTTACCCCATGCCCATCTCCTACCTCCTCAGCTATCTCCTCTTCCTCTCTGGCTGCCTCATCTTCCTGTGGAGGGGCAGGTTGCTTCAAGTCCTCCTGTAGGGAGCAAAGGGGACATGAGGTCATGTGGAGGATGCAGGGACCCGTAGCTTCCCTGGACCAGGGCCTTATCTACCCTGGGCTCAAAGATAAGCAGAGGGACTGCGGAACCAGAGGTGTGGAACCAGACTACAGCTGGGGCTCTATACCAGAGGTATAGTCTGGTTGCCAAGGCCTTCTGGGGGTACCAAGTACCCTGGTGCCCAGCTTCACCCACCAATCTGATCCCCATATGCAGACAGCCCCTAGCTGGACTTCCTTGATGAGGAAGCCAGAATGGGGTGCTGAGGTGAGGGTGGAGGAGGGCAGAGGCCCCTGAAGCCCTTTAGCATTCTGGAGTCACACGAGCACACACCTTTGCCCTGCTGAGCCCCCAATCAGCCTTTGTAGGAGGGTGTATCATTAATGCTCACATGGGGACCCTGAGACTTCAGAGTTCAAAGCAGCAGGGCTTGTTGGCATCGAGTCAGGCTTGCTGCAGGCCCACTCGGGTCCCTAGTAGCATGGGTCCCCTTCCCTGCCTCCCGATGGGCTCTGGCTCAGGCTGATCAGGGCTAGCAAGGGTCATACAAGCCTTTCTTACTCTCCATCTTCTTCTGTCCCCTTCCACTCCAGGCCAACCAGACACTTGCCTGAGTGGTCATGACAGCTGGGTGTGCAGGACCAGGTTGGTAATTAGCCTGGAGCCTGATCTCAGCACCTACCTCTGGAGGGTCCTGCTACCTCTGTGTTGTCACAGGACTACCCTGTTCCTTGTTGGAGTGCAGCATGAAAAGGCAGGGTAGACCTCGTCGGCCAGGCTTTCCAGGGGGAAGGGTCTAGCCCTGCTGCCTCCGGGGTGGTGATGAGGCCAGGGCATGAGCAGTCAGATACTTGGTGCTGCATCTTCCTGAGGTTCACTGGGGGTGAAGCATGACTTGATTTTGGGTGTCACCAGGAAATGAGTCTCTCTTGGGGCAGCTGGATGGGTTCGTCAGCTGTCCTCCAGTCTCCTTGAGGAGGGCCTGAGCAAGCCCACTCCAGGGCCTTTTTTGCTGTGAGTAGGTCTCTCAGGGCCCTCCTGATGATGATATAGTCACCTTAATTTGTTGGATTCTCACCACAAACCAGGCAGGATTCATAGGGGTCCTGTCCTTGCCTCATCACTTAGCCCAGTGGGACAGACACTCTTGTCCCCATTTTACAGATGAGGAAGAAGAGACCGAGAAAGGTTACTTGGCCTCCCAAGGTCACACAGCTAGGAAGGGGCAGAGTGGAGACTAGGAGAAGTAACAGCTGACAACTCCTAGGATGTGGTGACCCTATGCTGACCCTGGAAGCAGATCCCTGGTGTCACCCCAGAGTCAGGGGCAGGGTGTGCCCCCAGTCTCCCATCCACCCTCTCCCGAATTCTCAGTGCCCAGGTGGCCTGAGCCTGTTGCAGATACTGGAGTTGGAAACAGCATCCCCTTGCCCCCAGGTTGGAATCCCTGTCCCTGCCCCTGCTACCACCTACAGTGAGAGCTTCTCAGGGCATAGGCCACTTGTGAGGAATCCAAGTTGATGTGGACTAGCCGCAGAAAGCACTTAATCTCTTTGGGCCTTTGTCTCCACACCCTATCTCATGGGATTTTTGTGCTGATTAAGTGAGCTAATATGGGTAAAATGCTTAAAGCGGAGCCTGCCCTGTAACAGGTGCTGGGACAGCTCACCTGCAGACACCCACCCCTGGGGAGGGTGTCGCAGCTCCCGTTCTCTGCTGCTAGGCCAAGCACACACATGCACATTCATGCATGCACACAATGCACCCTCACGCAAGGAGGGAGCACGTGAACTCTACACAAAGGAGGCTGCAGAGGGTGGGGTCAGGCTGTGCTGCCTTCCTACCACCAGGGGGCACTACTTCCCTGCTGCTCCCGGTGGGAGGCGGCGGCCTGGGCTGGGGAGGAAAGCTGGACACCGGGATGGTGGTGACTTGGCAGCTTTGACCTGGTGTCCACTGCCTGGGAGGCTGCCTGCCACCGTGTGGGGCCCTGTTTTCTTTTATAAAATATAGTATCTCCTAAATGCTGGGAGCAATCCAGAGGGCATAGTTGTTTTTTTGTTTTGTTTTAAGACAGAATCTCACACTGTCATAGCTCATGATGTCATAGCTCACAACAACCTCAAACTCTTGAGCTCAAGCAATCCTCTTGCCTCCGCCTCCTAAGTAGCTGGAACTAAAGATGCTGGCCACAACGCCCAGCTAGTTTTTCTATTTTTAGTAGAGATGGAGGTCTCACTCTTGCTCAGGCTGGTCTCAAATTCCTGAGCTCAAGCAAGTCACCTGCTTAGGCCTCCCAGAGTGCTGGGATTATAGCTGTGAGCTACGGTACCCAGCTCAGAGGGCATAGTTTTGAGTCTCACTTTCCTGTCTATGAAATGGACCGCTAACTCCCCCCTCATAGGGAATGGCTGTGAAACGCCAAGCACAGAACCCACCCCACCCTATAGCACACAGTGGGTGTTGAAATCAAAGCCAAATCCAGCCCTTAAATATGTTTCCCTATTTGTCCCCCACCCTAGCTGGCCTCTGGGCCAGAGGAAGGACAGGCCAGTTTGAGGGCTGGGGCTCACCTTGCGCACCACCCCGGTGTTGATCACGATGTTCTCTGCCTCCTCCACAGTCTTGGTGGCCACAGTGTTGACGCTGGTGACCACGGCCTCACTCACAGCATTGGCTTGCTCCTTGGTCTTCTCAGCCACTGCAGGGGGAACTCTGGCTGGTCTTGGCCTTGACCCCTCCCCACTGGGTTGGCCCACCTAAGTCAGCACTCAGAGCCCTGGCTCTAGTGGGACCCTCGGCTACCCCCTTGCTGACTCCAGGGCAGCTCTGATGCTGGTGGAGGTGAGTGCTAGACCATCCTGGTCTAGCCTTAGGGCCTGGAGGGGTCTATGTCCATAGAACTTGGGTCCCCAGTTGGGGGTAAAGGAGGACCCTGGGCTTGGGCCATCCGTGCTAGGGTGCAGAAGTCCTGTGGCTCCCCCCTCCATGTCCCAGGTGCTGGGGGTCCTCACCTGAGGTCACACTCTGCACAACACCCTCCTTAGTCTTGGCTCCTGGGGAGGAAGTGGAAGTGTTAGCCCAAACCATCCCTCTGGGTGTTGGGGGTGTCAGGGCAAACACATCACAGAACAGCTGCCCCAGGTGTGGGGTCAGTAGAGGGTAAGGATGGTGTCTGGCCAGGGCAGCTCCTTCAAAGGGCCACTTCCTGCTGTGTCTGGAGGAAGTGGATGGATGGGAAGGGGACAAGACAGGGTCGGGGACAAGAGTGACCAAGCCTGAGGGGGACACTTGTTAGACCCAGGGTCCAGACCCTGTCAGGGTGTGGTTCGGGTCTAGGAAGCAACAGCAGGATGGGGTGGCTGAGCGCTGAGTCATCAGCCGCCTTGTCCTCTCTGGAAGGAGCCATGGGGGGATGGGGTGGGTGGGACACTTAACCCAGGTCTCATCTCCCCAGTCCAGCCCTTGCCTCTGGGCAGTATGGGGACCTGTAGTACGGCTGCTAGCTGCAGCAGCTCCCATTGGGAGAGGGCAGGCAGCCCACCTGAGCATCGGGCTGCTTTGGGGGCTCCAGCCCCCAGGGAACCCAGTGTGCTGGGTGTGCCTTTGTGCACGCACAGACAGGTGGCCAGCAGTGCCTGCCGTCTGAGTGTCCCTCTTGCTGTTCTCCTGCAGGCACTGTGGTTGGTCCAGGGCCCAGAGACCCTTCCTTGACAGCCAGGACCTCACCTCCTCCCAAAATGCTTCCCTGGGGCTGGGGAGCAAGGTCAGGCCAAGGTTACCAGGTACACACTGTCAGGCCACACCATGCAGCCACGCCCCACTATTCCCCACTCACCCACATACATGACCCCCTCCTTAGTCTTCTCGGCTGCTTCCGTCACCCCCTGCTTGGTCTTCTCCACAGCACCCACCACGCCCTCCTTGGCGATGGAGAAGCCCTTCTTGAAGACATCCATGACCGTAGGCAGGGCTGGGCTCAGCTGCTGCAGGCAGGATGGGAGCTGAACTCACCCTGCAAGCTGCGGGCTGGAGCTGGCGCGAGTGCTGCTGCAGTGGCTGTCCCCGCCGCTGCCTCCTATTGACGCGATGAAATATTGATGCAGAGGCCAGCTGGAGCCCAGCCAGCCCGGGTGCAGGCGGGGAGGAGAGAGAGAGGTCTGCCTGTACCTCCCCCAAGGCTGAGGGGGAGAACCTTGTTAGCTCAGCCCTGCCCTCCTGCTTCTGCCCTCCAGGACGGGGCTGGGCACATCTTAACTTATCTTGCCCCTCCTTTATTCGCTGCCCCACACAGCTACATGGTGAGCCCTGGCTTGGTGCTCTCCACTGAGGGCAGTTTGGTCTGTGCTACACCTGGGGAGAAGGGCACAGTGTGGGGAGGCACCTGGCTGGTGCCCCTCTGTCCAGGTAGGGCAGGGGTCAAGCTATGCAGGCCTGTCAGGTAGAGAGAGGCCAACTTCCCAGATCGACCTGGGCTGACTAGCCACCCACCAGCATCCTGGATGCCTCTGACCCCCAGCTCTACAAAACCATTTGGAGGAGGTGGGAGAAGCTTCCTCATGCCCTGGCCTCTTGTGTGACCCCAGAATAACTCCTTTCCTTCTCTGAGCCTCCGCCCCCCACTGGCTCCCACAGACCAACAGTGAAAGGTGCTGAGGAGGCATGTTGTGCCCACCACTTGGTTTGGAAGGGCAGTAGGTTCCCCTGAGACCTATACCACTGCTTCCTGCACCCCCACTTCAGAGCTTATGTGCTTCTCTTGGCTCTTAGGGAGCAGGTTCCCATGGGGCCACCCCTAGTGTCTCCCACACCCCGAGTGTCCCTCAGCCAAGTCCTCTTGGGGCATGAGGACTGGCTTGCATGGTTGGTGGCCCCTGTGGGGGCTGGCCAAGACGGGTAGGGGCCGGATGAGACCCACTGCGTGGGCTGGCCCGGGCTGCTTCCTCTCTTTGTTGTCCTGGTGTTTTCTTTTCCTTCTGAGATTTAACTTGAAATCGACGTCACTGGCAGTTTCTGGAGTCACTTGCCGGGCTGAGCCTAAGCCTGCCCCACCACCAAGATGATCCTGACTCTGCTGCTTGGCCTTGGGGGGCCCCTTGGCTGGGGGATGCTGGGGGCCTGGGCTCAGGCCCCTGATACTAGTTTCTCTGATCCACACAGTTCCAGGTCACCTGGCGTCTGGAGGGCAGAGGCTGAGGACACTGGCACGAACCCCATTGGACGGTAAGAGGACGCTGGCAGAGGTCTTGGTGCCGGACCTGAGTCCCAGCTCAGCCTGAGCAGGCCTCTCTCCCCCATCTTTGAAATGGGCTAATATCTATTTGCTGGGTCTGCTGTGAGGCTTAATTGGTCTCTCTTTTGAGGGGCTGTCTCCAGCCTGCCTAGACTGGATGCTCCAGGGTCCATCTAAGAACCACAAGGAGTTCCCTGTCTGACCTATGGCAGGGAGGGAACAGCTCTTGCCATCAATTACCCAGCATGGGGCGCCAAGGGACTGTGGCCCTAGATGTTTCCAGCTGGCCCCGTCATGGCTTCTGTTCTTCGAAAGAAATCAATTCTGAAAGCTGAACCCCAGCAAGGCAGCCTAGCCATAGAAGACAAATACTCCCTGGGATGGGATTTTGATCTGACTTCCTGGAGTCCCAGCTCTGATTGCCCTGCAGTGAGCAGAGAGAGACCCCTGCTTCCAGATGCAGAGGAAGCCGGGCCCTGGGGGGTTCTGTCTTAGCAGCTCCTGGGAAGGGGCAGGATGGTCTTGTGACCTGAACCCAGGATACCATCTTCCAATGCTCTAGACATCCGGGTTCAGGACCATTCCTGCTGACAAGGTGCTGGGCCTGCAGGTCCCCCCAGAGTCTGTGGTGGCCTCAGAGTCTCATCTTCAACCTCAGCAGAGCAGTAGCAGCAGGTGCCATTAGTGAGCTGGTCTCTGGGCACCTCGCCAAGTGTTATCTCAGTTAACTCCTCTTTCCTCTGAGCCAGAGGCTCAGAGAGGCTGAGCATCTTGCCCAAGGTCACACAGCTAAGGAAACCCAAGCAGGATCTGAGTCTCACTCTGCAGCTCATACTTGACCCGTGGAATGGAGCGCTCAGAGGTGGCCCGGCCCAGCCGCCAGAGTCCCTCTCCCCACCCCTGCTACCCCTACCTCCCTCACACACCAGACTTAGTTGGCTGAGTCTGTCTACATGGATTTGGAGTGAGGGGCTCAACTCACATTCGCCCAGCCTCCTATCTGGATGTATTGTGTTGGGTCATGGATCTGTCTGGGACATTCTCAGCTTCATGTTTCCAGGTGAAGGTTTGTTGGGGGGCTTTCCCAGTAGCAGATTTGACCAGAGTAGGGAGAGAATAAGTGCACACCACCCCTTACTAAGGGGGGCCTGACGTGGAGAAACCCCTCTTGCCCAATCAGTGCTGGGAGGCATGGGGGGATTTTTTTGGGGGGCGGAAATTCAGTCATCCAGCCCTGATTTCAGGACCAAGGACCAAGCTTTCTCTCCCCAAAGTCACCAATTCCTTGCCTGAGTCTCTGGGCCACCTTCCTCCCACTGGGAAAAGTGGATGGGAAGGAGGAGGGAGTTGCTGCTCTTTTTTCCCACCCCCTTGGTTGGGAGGGGGCTTAGTTCCCCTGGGAACTAAGGGACCAGGGCCTAGTTTGCCCTCTGGGGGTCCCTCAGCCATTCCCTGGTGGTCTCCACGTAAGAGGAGTCTGCATTGGTACATCTGGTCCAGCAATGCCCAAGTGTCCCAAGCCTGCTGCCTGTTGTGGGTCTCCTTCCCACAGTCCTAGAAGCTGTGGTCCCCACAGGCCAAGCCCACGTTGTCCAGGCATCCGGAGGGGCTGGTGAGAAAGGAAGGAAGCACTGCGCTTCCTGGGCTAATTGCTTCCCGTGCTCCTGTCAGGGGAGGCGGAAGCATGCTCTAGTCTGCTCCTGGAAACCGGCCTACGGCAGCAGGGGTGGTGATACCGTTAGGCACGGGTGATACCCAAGCCCCGGGCTGCCAGAGCCTCACACCTGTTTTCAGAGCCCTGGACCCAGACCCTGTACGACCCTTAGTAAGGAAGAGCATAAGCAGAATGACTATGTCCGTGGACAGCCAGGTTGGTGAGGGAGGGACTCACCCAACTGGTTTAACTGCTTCTCAGGTGCTTGGAGACCCTAAGAGCCCCAGCCCAGGGAGCCCACAATCTGAGTGCTGAGAGTTCAAGAGGAGGGGCTCTCTTCCCATGCTTCCCAGCATGGGCCGTCTCAGATCAGGACTTGCTGCCCCAGTAGGGCTATGTCTGTAGTAGGAACCACGCTGGGCCCCAGCTGTCACCACATGGCTGTGACAGTTTGGAGGGGTGGGGTGACACCCAGAGTCACAGAACTCCTAAGTGACGGGTCAGAACGGGGCCCCTCGCCAAGCATCCTTCGTCCTATCCCCACTATGAGGGTTGTAGTATAGGGGGTACTGATCTCAGCAGCCTGGCTGGCCCCCGTCAGCAGCTCCAGGCTTCTCCAGGTTCTTGTACAAGGAGCACATGGGATTTCTGCAGCTGGGGGTTAAGCCCCAGACAAGTCACTCAGGAGCAGGGTGGAGCCCAGGCTGTGGCATCTAGGCCGCACTGCACTCCAGTACCCATTCCTGCTGCCAGGGCGTAGGGCCCTAGGCTTAAGCAGGGAAGAGGCCCCACTGGCAAGGCCGAAGCTTCCAGGACCAGAGCTAGGGAACCCTGGCTCTGGGCTGGCTGCTGACTGGGCCTCAGGCTTCTCTGCCAAGGACCCTTTCTGGCTCAAGGACAAAGCCCTGCAAGTTTCTCCCCTGGGACAGTCACGTTAATGGCTGGATTCAGAGCCACCGAAAACAAGGCTGCTGAGAACACGCCCTCCTTCCAGTTGCAGGTGGCTTTACTGGCTGTTAAAAGGCTCTCTACACAATTTACGTAATGGACGTGCTCCTGGGGCAGCAGCTGCCAGCAGCACATCCATTATGCAGAAATCTGGGCTAATGGCCCCTTCCCTGCTAGAGGCTCTCTCTGCCTCCCCCACTCCTCTACTCCCAGGGGCACAGCTTCTCCGTGTTTCTGGAGCTGGGGGAAGGGCCTGGCTGAAGGTTACCCTGGCTCAGGGAGTAGAAGGGCAGAGAGTCCAGGGCCTCCCAGGTCCCACCTAGAAGCTCCAAAGGGGTCAACAGACTCTCCCATCTGGGGCAGGCCATGGGCACACCCCAAACAGGACAGAGACCCCTTCACTAACTCTGGCCTGACTCCTGCTCCTCAGAAGACCATTGGGAGATGGGTGCACCAACAGGACTCCCCAAGGAGGGCACAGAGAGGGAGCAGGCAGTGAGAACAATGGGCACTTCAGCAAGTTGGGCTGGGGACATAGGCACTGAGAACCAGCATGAAGCTGCCAAGCTCTGGAGGAAACTAAAGCAAAGGTCAGGAATGTTCCCAGGGCTTCTGGGCCAGCAGCCTGCACTCTGCCAAGGGAGGGACTGCCCAGGGCCAGGAGGCAGTGGGCAAGAATAGTGGCTGCTGGAGCCCAAGAACTTGGGCAGGTCAGAGGAGAAAGTTCCAGGGCAGGAAGGGTGGGCAGCACAGTTTTCAGTTCCAGGAGCTTGAGGTGGAAAGTCCCAGTCACTCCTGGCAGGCCTAGCCACAGGCCTTCTGCAGCAGGTCAGAGGGTGTGTGAGAAATGCAACTTTGTTTAGAGAAAGTATTCCTCAACCTTCGCACTACTGACATTTTGGACGGGGTAATGCCTGGGGTTGGGGGAGGTGCGGTGGGGGCCCTGTGTATTTTAGGGTGTTTAGCAATATCTTTGGCCCCAATTCACTAGATGCGAGTCAGTAGGGACAATATACTTGGGGATAGTCTCTCTCCTCACATTCAGAACCACTGGTTTAGAGAGTTCCTCTCCCTGGGCCTGAGTCCGTGTTCCAGGAATTTCTAGGGGTCCAGGACAGGTGTCTGCTCAGGCAGACATCTCACCCATGATTCCAGAGTGCGGGGTCCAGCACTTTCAGGGTTCACTGTTCTAGGGTTGAGTGTACATTCCTTCCTTTCTTCTGTCCCAATCTTGATGTACTCCCTTTTGACCATTTACTAATCCTTTGGGGATATACAGATCTCTTCTTGGTCCCT